ACTCGATCCCAGGACCCCGGGATCACCACCTGAGCCGAAGGCAGACGCTTAACCGACTGAGCCACTCAGGTGCCCTCATTAAATTTTTATTTGAAGAGCAATTCTTGGTTATTGCATGAAGTCTGAGGAATGGGGTGGGAGGGGAACCCGTGGAAGATTATAAAGAAGGAAAAAAATGACCCCAAACCCTTCTTGCTTCATTTTATTTTATTTTTTAAAATACCTATTTATCTAAGTAATCTCTACACCCAATATGGGACTTGAACTTAAGACCCCAAGATCAAAAGTTGCACGCTCTACAGACTGAGCCAGCAAGGTCCACCCTATCCCTTGCTTCATTTTGAAGGCAGCTGAGTGGTACCTGACCCAGAGTAGTCACATCACAACAGTTGTGTGTCTGCCATTCTGCAGGCCACAGCCACCTACATGCAAACACACACACACACACACACACTCACACTCACATTCACACTCACACACACACATGAACATACAGTGAAACTACACAGTTTCCAGAGAGCACACTGTGTTTCTAGTAACAAACCACAGTCTGCCTCTAGGATGTGTGGCCAGGCTCTGCCCTGAGCGAGAAGGCTCACACGGGAAGTGTGCTTGCCCAGAGCCAGCAGCCAGGCCTCCGGGCTGTGCTCGGCATGTCCCGACAGGATGCCAGGCGGGCTGACGGGCAGGAAGAGATGCCGCTCCAACCTCTCCCCGTTGTAATTTACCAAACCCCTCTGGGGCTCCTTTGAGTTGTTTTCTGGAAATGCCACATTTCAAGGGTCTCCCCGTTAGAAAAGGTCAGAGAGTTCACACAGGCCTTTCATGTGAAGGAACTTGAAAGAAAAGGAAAGGAAAAGTACATTTTCAGCCTTAGCTGTGATGAGGTGGGCCCAGGCCATGAGAACACTTACATGACGTTACATGAAGAGCCAATTAGCCTAACAACTTCCGAAAACTATCTAGCTCAAGAGCACCCATTTATTAGAACTCTTGGAATGTGCCAGGCCTTGAGCTAAGCTCTTTCCTAGGATATGGAAATCATCTCAAGATCACTCCCGCAGTGCTAGGCAGCTTTGGGGGTGATACCCATTTTACCCAGGAGGAAGCCGAGGCTCAGAGAGAGTCAGTGATTTGTCTGGAATCCCCCAGCTAGTAAATGGTAGGGCAGGGATGCAAACTCAGATAGATCTGCCTAAATCTAAAGCTGGAGCTCTCCTGGTCAGACCCTCAACCCTTGTGAGTTCTGAATTTGTCCTGTGTCCAGCCTCCGAGGACACCACATGTCCCACCTGTGGCTCAGGTGCATGAAGATGAAGCCTCATTAACTCTTCAGCTCTGGGGGCACCTGGGTGACTCAGTCGGTTAAGGGTCCAGCTCTTGGTTTTAGCTCAGGTCATGATCTCGTGGGTCGTGAGGTCGAGCCCCAGGTGGAGCTCCCAACGGGCTCCACACTAGGCTGGGAGTCTGCTTGAAGATTCTCTCCCTCTGCCCCTCCCCCCCACTTGCATGTGCATGTGCCCACATGCATGTGCACACACACACTCTCTCTCTCAAATAAATAAATCTTTAAAAATAAATAAATAAATCTTCAGCTCTGACCTGGACTTCATGGGTCCAGAAGACTCTGGGGCCTTCCTGCAGAAGACTCTGGCCTTCATCCTGAAACTGCCTGGTCACCTCCAGAAGGGCAGCCGCAGCAGATCCCACTCACCACTCTGGGGAAGAACCCCAGAGCCACAGTGACTGTATGGGATCTGAGTTGGTGCCCAGAGCGGGCAGTCCAGGGTGGGCCCAGAGGTGGTACAGACTGAGGTCTGACTCAAGGGAGATGCTCTGGGCCCTCCTATCTAGCAAAGAGCTTGAACCACCCTATACAGACCAACAAGAGAGACTCCCCAGTCCTCCTGGTGGTCCCTCCAAGCAACATGAGCCCCTCGGAAAGTCAGGACTCTATTAGTCACGGTTCATTCATCAGCATTTTTCTGCAGAGACCACAAAGCAGGTAAGAACCCCCTTCTGGAATTTTAGAGGTCATGATGCAACACTAGAGTGTGTGGTGGTAGTTAGGGTGCAGGTCCAGGAGTCAGACTGTCAAGTTTTTGGAATTCTGATACTCTCACTTCTAAGCTGTGAGATCCTGTGACTTATTCAACCTCTCTGAGCTTTGTTTCCTCGTTCATGAATGGGGATAATAGTCCCAATGTCACAGAATTGGTTTGATGATTAAGTGAGATAATGTATGTGGAGCTCTTGACATGATGCCTGGCACATAGCAATCACTCAGGAATATGAAGTCATGTTGCAGGTGATAATGAGGATGATGATGATGGAATCAGTGCTGACCAGACAACAGGCTGCTGCAGGGCCACACCTGCCTTTGGTGGACAAGCCTGAGCTCCTTTTCTTCTCTATCTCTCCAAACCTTACAGAGCCTCCCAGGTCCAGATGAAGTCTGCCTCCTCCAGGAAGCCCACCTGATCACTTCAGCCACATTGATTTCACCATATCTGAGCTCCTTCTGCCGATGGTCTGCATAGACTAATAACCAACAAACTTGGCTCTAATAACTTCTCAGCTTCTCAAGCAGACAATGCCTTCTGGAGAACAGGAACCCCATCACTGCCTCTCCCCTCTCCACAGCCTGAGTCCAGGATTAGGTACATGGGAGATTCTCCCTAGCAGGCATTCAAGCTGATTTCAGTATGGCTGTAGATGTCCGGTACTCAGCTTGTTTCTCCCTCCCTTACCTCTCTTCCTCACACCCATGTTCTCCCTGCTCACCTGCCTCCTCCCCTGGTTCCACCCAGCAGGGCATGATCCTGTAGGGTAGTGGTTCCCAGACTTTGGGATTTCACAGCCCTAGAAAATGTCCAAAGAGTTTTGGGGGTGGGAGAGTGAATAGAATGGCCAAATTTTTCTCTTGCCGAATAAGGACGTTTTAAAAAAATCAATTTCCACCATTATTTTATAAAGAAAGGCTGTTTTACACCAATAAAGTAGAAAATCCATAATCTCTGATTAAAAGCTAATACTTTAAGCTGAAAAAATTCAGCCTTATTGAGAAAAACAAACCACCTCACTGTTGCCCTGACTTCTCTCCTTTCTCCATGGACTAGAGAAAACAACCCCCACTGTCCTGTGTCCACTCATGGGTCTGGGGACCTTTATCCTGGAGGAGGTCCCTGCTAAGCTGGGGTCACCCTGAAAGGCAAGAGGACCCCCAAAACCTTTGAGTTAGGCAGATCCATCTTCCCATTCAGCTTTCCCAGAGGAGGTTCGTCCCAAGTCAGATCTTATAACCTCAGGGGCTGAGGTGGGGGAGGGCATGAGCCCCTCCTCCTGTACCCTTTCCCCTCTCTACTGGGCTAAGATTTGCTGGATTTCCCCACCACCACCACCACTGTCCAGTGGCGATAATAGTGAGACTCAGCAGCAAGCTCACGCTCAGAAAAGGAGACTGGGGGAACCTAATGGGCAGGATCTTCTCCACATGTCCATCCCCAAACTGAGCGCTAAGTAACCCCCACCCCCCAGCCCCCGGAAGGGAGGAAAAGCGGGCACTGCAGCGGTGCAGTAGGAGGCCGAGCCGCCCCGCTGAGCCGGCGCAGATAGGATCTGAACGCGGAGAAGGACGGCCCTGGCTCTTTGATCCGCAGCCAACCAGGCTGGGCCTGGACCGGGAGGGGCGGCGCGGCCCTCTTCCGGCCCGGCTTTGCGCGGCTGCCAGGGGTCCCGTGGGGCTCCGAGCGGGAGAGGCGTCCAAGACACCCTCCTTCCCAAATACCCTCTTTCCCTGTGCTCTCCGGAGAGATGGGAAAGTCTACACTGAACCCAACTCAGAAAACTGCTGGGGGGCTGCGGTTCACTGCGCCTCGATCCTAAAGGACCTGTGTCTTTCCCAGATACAGTGGTGGAGCGGGGGCCAAGCGTGCTGTGGAGGCCCGCGTGGACAGGACCCCTGGTGCCCTGTAGACGTGATAGAAGCTGGCGCAAGTTCCCGCGCTCCTCTGGCTCTAATAGAGCCTGCAGCCTGGATCTTGCGAGAGTCCGCGGCCGTCAGGCTCCGAGTCAATTGGCCCCATGGGAATGCGACTTCCCGTGCTGAGTTGCTTCTGACGACCCACCCCTCTTCGGAATCCCGCGGCCCACGTGGGTGCCCAAAGGCTCGCATCCCTGGGCCGCAGGTTCTAGGCGTAGAACCGAGTTGGGAGGGAGGGAGGGGGTGGGTGGCTGGAGGATCCTCACGGGGTTTGGGGGATCCTTCCTCCTTGTCCTCTTGGCTCTGTTCGAGCCTCGGAGATGCCACATGGCAGATGTGTGATGCATGAGCCCCGCACGCAACAGGCGCTCAATAAATGTGTGAGGGAAATATGCTTGTGTTCGCGTTGTATCTGGGCAGCCTGGAAGGAGGTCCCACGTCGGTTTAAGATTGGAGAACAGGGCAGAGACCGGGAATTTGAGGAATCCTAACCCTGCCAGGCGGGGTTCGCGCGCAGCCTCGAACAGCCTCCAACCTCTAGGAAGTCCCCAGTTTCAAGCCCTGGACGTACTGGTCCGGCGCGCCAAAGCGATTACACCTTGGCTTGCGTTCCAGTTCCCGCCCCAGGGCCTAGGAGACCCGCTCCCTTGGCACTTGGGGGAGAAACCCCGGGCGCAGAGCGGGAATCCCTTATTGTGGGTGAGGAAGCGGGGTCAGGAGTCTCCTTTAGAGTTCCCATATTTCGGAAGAAGGGTGATGCTTTTCAAACTTGCCGGACGCCTCCCAGAATGACGCCGGGGAGAGCTAGCCCTTTAAGATTGTGCGCGCTGCTCACGTCCCCGCCTCTCGGGGAGAGGAGGGGCGGGGCGGGGCGGCTTGACCCCGCCCACCAACAGGGCCCGCCCCCGGCGTCCCCGCCCCGCCCCCCGCGCTCGGCCGGCGGCGCCTTTGATGTTCGGACCCGCCAGCTCCCGGAGCCGCTCAGCCTGGCGCCCGCGCCCCGCGCCCCGCGCCCCGCGCCCCGCGCCCGCAGCTCGCCCAGGCGGAGTCAGTCCGCGCTCCGCCCGCCGCGCTTCGGGCTCGGAGGTCCGGACTCCGGGCTCGCCGCCTGCTGGGCCGGTTCCGCGCCCCGCACTCTCGCGCCCCGCGCCCGGGCGGAGCGCACCATGCCGCAGCTGGACTCCGGCGGGGGCGGCGCGGGCGGGGGCGACGACCTAGGCGCGCCCGACGAGCTGCTGGCCTTCCAGGACGAAGGCGAGGAGCAGGACGACAAGAGCCGCGACAGCGCCGCGGGCCCGGAGCGCGACCTGGCCGAGCTCAAGTCGTCGCTGGTCAATGAGTCCGAGGGCGCGGCGGGCGGCGCGGAGGTCCCGGGGGCCGGCGCCGGGGCCCGCGGCGAGGCGGAGGTCGGGGCTGAGGTGAGCGCCGGCCCGCGCCCCGCGCCCCTCCCGCGCCCGCCGCCCCCAGCCCCCGGCCGGCCCCGCCCCGCCCTCCCGGGCCCCTGGGGTACCCATCCCTCGGCCCCCTCCTGCCCCGGGCCGCGAGCCCGGCGCCCCTCACGGCCCCTCTGGATCTCCCCGCAGGCGCTCGAACGGGAGCACACTTCGCAGAGACTTTTCCCCGACAAACTTCCAGAGTCTCTGGAGGACGGTGAGTTTCGGTCCGCCTCCCCTCCACCCGCTAAGGGCCCGGGTGGGACAGGGGGCCACCGAGGACGGGGTTGGGGGGGGCCGGGGGGCCTGCCCCCACGGCAGCTAAAGGAGGCGGCAGAGCCGGGGCGGGGGGAGTGGGGGCGGGTTTCCAGGGCGCCGCCGGGCTCGAGTCACTTCCGGTGCCCTGACCTTTATAGGAGTAAACAGACCCCCGCCATCTCTGCCTCCCCTCCTGCCCAGGTGACTGCCTAATCCCCAGTCTTGAGGAGAAAGCGTTGGCCCAGGTTCCTTGGCCCGGAGGGCGGGCTGGGGGTCAAGTAGGGGCCGCCGAGGGGAGGCCTGGACTCGGGGTCCTGCATCCGAACTGAGGCACCCCCAGCCCGTGCCTTCTCCGGCCACACACGTGAGCCGGACCCCTCGGCAATTCTTTCTCTGGAGAGCAGACTGCCTCCAGCCCGAGCCACCCGGTCGGGCGCATCTGACCCAGCTGTGGTTTTTCCAGGCCTGAAGGCCCCAGAGTGCGCCAGCGGCATGTACAAAGACACCGTCTACTCCGCCTTCAATCTGCTCATGCACTACCCGCCCCACTCGGGAGCAGGGCAGCACCCCCAGCCGCAGCCCCCGCTGGTAAGTGGCCCCGGCAGGCCTTGTGCCTGCTACCTCCTTGACCAGGTATGTGAGGCATGGGCAACAAGTGACTTTTGCCTAGAAGAAGATAGATAGGTGAGAACTGTGTTTTGGTGCCTTTTCCCTTACACGCCCAGTGTGATCTGAACCGGGAGAACTCTGCAGAAGGAAGGAGAGAGACTGCCCTAGGCGCCCCCCTTCCCTCCAGCTGTTGGCTTTTGTCTTCCTAGCTTGCTCACAAGCAGGTGCAGGCCCTGTCCTGGTGCTAGGTAATGCCAGGGTAGAGTCTTTTCCCAGAATTTTTGAGCTGACACCATCCCCTCCCCTCCTGAGGGTGGTGTTGGTAGTGTGGTCTTAGCTGTGAGTTTTGCAGTTAGCCTTCTCCCCAAGCCTGGGTGTTTGGAAGAATGGGCAGAAAGGGTAGTGTGTTTCAGAGCTCTTGGTTGTGCAGGAGAAACATGCTCTACTCACTCTATCCTTATTGGCATGAATGCCCCCTTGCTAGAGAAAGACCCTGAACGCTATGTGTAGAAAGTGGGTTTTTATGAGACTGGTTTGTTCTCATAAGCTCTGGGAGGTGGTTTCAAATCAGTGGTGTGGGTAAGGGGCCCCTTTAATGATTTTACTAATTACATATGTTTAGGTGCTTCGAAAAGATTCCACGACCATTACAAACCATGCTTTTCTGCCCCAGATCATTACAAACCATGCTTTTCTGCCTCATTGGTACAGATGATCTAAAGGTAAAGAGCCTATTCTGAGTGCATTGGAGCAGTACAGCTGCGCTTAAAAAAAAATTGAGCTTAGTGTTTCAGACTGTCCTCAGCTGGCCTAAATCAAGGGTGAGATTAGAGCTCCTAGAGTACACGAAGTGTTTGGGGAACTCTGGTGGCTGCAAATGGAGGTCCAGTGCAGGAGGGGCCAGCAGGTAGGTGGCTCACATGGCTAGTTGGAGGATCACTCCGAGGGAGGAGGGTGACTGCCAGGCTGTTTCAGATCAGGAGGGAGGAGGGTTGGTTCGGAAAGCTGTTTTCATGCCGAAGCTGGTGGGAGGTGAGAAGGCAGATTGAGGCTTCTCTCTACAAACCCCAGAATGGAAAACTTGGTAAACTGTTGACTGCAGAAATGAGCTCCTTGCTGCTTGGACTCCCCATTTCCTCAGAGGCAGAAGGAGCGTGTTGGTTGAGTGGTCTTTCTGCTCTAGGATGGCTCCGTCCGTGAGGTGCTTGCTTCTTTCAAGTCTATGGGGCAGGGGGCTTGCCCTCTGACCTTGCCACCTGATGCAGCACCTCTCCTCAGAGACCTCCGCCCTGCATAAGCAGATGCTTAACGTAGATGCTTTTGGGTCCCTTACAACGTGTAACCCTTAGATTTTGGGCCAACTTGACATAATGCAGCGCTGCCAAACTGCTGGCAGGTGAGTTGCTTGCAGAGGGTGCTGGGGTCACTGTGACGGCCTTGGGTAGACAAAAGGCCTAGGCCCAAGAACAGTCCTAGGAAGGACTGTTCCGCTCCAGCCTCTTGTGATTCCACAGTGGTGCAGGGAAGAGGCGGGATTTCTGCGTTCCTTTCAGGGCCTGGGCCAGTGGGAGAGTGCCCAGAGTGGGAGGGCCTCGTTCTCTTTCAGGGTGTGGTGATGAGACCATTTGGTGTCCTTAAGCTCACACTGATCAGAGTGTAGGCGACAGACAGCCAACTCCAACAGTCAGGATTGGGGGTGGGGGCCGAGGGCAGGCACACCATTATTCTCCTGGCCTGCGGTCATTTGTTTTTTCAACTTGGGCATCTTTCTTAAGCTATAGCAGAGGCTTTTCTGTATATCATACTCTCTCCTATAGACGTAAATCCCCTTGCCTTACTCCCCACCCAGCTGCAGCCTCCCACTGCCTGGCTTCTGGGAACATGGGAGGAGGAAGACAGGCTCTGGAGCTAATGTTCTGTGTGCTGGAACCAGCTGTTCTGTGGGGCTGGGGACAAGGACAGAGGCAAGGGCCTAAGTTGGGGTGACACCGGGTAAGGAAAATGTCCATGAATATAGGGGAGCCTCTTTTAAGCAAACCTGATAGTTCAAAATAAATAGCAAGTCGGAGTAGTGGCTTGTGTTACCCGAAAAGTTGTGTGAACGTTTAAAATATGGTTGGTTTTAAAAAGCAAATTTGATTGACTCCATGTTTTGGGAGCATATGTATCAGAGTATCAGAAAAGATACTCTTACAGTGGGTCAGGAGTCCATTGTAGGGCCCTGAGGAAAAACTGCCTTTGGAGGTTTCTTCCCAAGCTCTGCTTTCCTGAGCCCCTCTTCAGGGGACAGATGTCAGGCTGCCCAGCCCCTGCCCATGAGCCTTAGATCTAGGCCACCCAGCCCCCTTTGCCCTTTCTCAGAGAATCCAGGCAGTCAGCAGTTGTGCTGACAGGTTTTTAAGGCCAGTCGCTTAACCTCCCCAGACAGTGGGGAAAGCCCATGCCAAGGTGTCCTCCACCCACGTGTGGGTGGCACGCCCATGTGGCTACCATGTTGGATGCCTCAAACCGGGCAGACTCAAAGCTTGCCAGGGGCAATGGACCAAATGACTACCTCACAGCCAGCTGCCAGGGGGCAGAGGGAGATTTTTTTCCCCTAAAAGCGTGCTGCTTTTTGGTACGTGCCTTCTTGTGAACTCTGTTTTGGGAAGGGAGAATTAGGTCAAAGTTTATTTCATGGCTGCTGTTTGTGAGGCATCTGATGTAGGCTTGTAGACTGTTTCTGGCTTCGACCAGTAGCCAGTCCTTGTTTCTGTTTTGTTTGCTCTATTCTGCTCCGAGATTGGGGGTGGGGGTGGGGGTGGAAGGAGCAGTGAGCTCGTCCTGGGCCTGACTTTGAGGAACTTCTGGGATGAGTAAGGCATCGCTCCCTAGGGAAACTCAGACTCCTGGATGTGTGAGACTGCCAGCCGGGCGCAAATCTTCTCAGAAAGGAGATGAGGCCCGGTTGCTCTTGTGGCCCCTTGTGTGGGCTCCACTCGGAGTCTATGGCCTGGAAGGCTGCTGAGCCTTTAGCCATTTAGATGAAATGTCCAGAATAAGCAAATCTATAGAGATGGAACATAGATGCGTGGTTGCCAGGGGCTGAGGGAAGGCGGGAATGGGGAGTGATTGCTAATGGGTATGGGGTTTCTTTTTGGGGTGATGAATGTGTTCTGAAATTGGACAGTGGTGATGGGTACACAACCCTGTGAATATACTAAAGCCGCTGAACAGTATACTTTGAAACAGTGAATTTTATGATGTGCGAATTACATCTCAATTGAAAAAAAATAAAAAGGCTGAGCCTTTTGGCTCTTGCAGGGACTTGGGACTGTTCCCCAGGCCTGATCTCCACAGCCGTCCTGGTGTATGTGCCTGCCCCAAGCTAGGGGCTCGGGCATCAGTTCCAGTGTTGGGGGAGCCCTTTTGAGGCAGTGGACCCTTGCTTGGGTTCCAGGCCATTGAGCTCACATTCCCAGGTTCCAAGGTCTGAGGTCAGATGAGGGCTGTGCTAATGAGCCCTGTGGGGAGCAGGAGGTGCAGGTATGAGCAAGACTTGAGCAGAGGAAGGAAGTGCTGCTGACACACGGCCACCATGTCCAGGGAAGCTCTGCAGAGATGCACCCACCCAGCCCTCCATAGCCTCAGAGAGAGGGAGTGGCCGGGTCTTGCTGGGGACGGTTAGTGAGGGTTGATCACCAGCCCCGGTTGGAGTGAACCTTGTTAGGAGCGGTCTGGCACCAGGCTGGGCACAAGACAGATCACAACCAGCCTCCGCCTCTGGGAGTGCCTAGCTGAGTGGAGGAGACAGATGAACAGACTGGAACCAGGCCCTGGTTGGAGGAGTGCTGTCACAGAAGGCCCTGCTGGGGCGTCCTGGGTGGAGCTGGCCCCCACGTGGGCTGTGGGCTGTGGAGGAGGGTCTGCTGAGCAGCTTTCTGAAGATGCGGAGTCGGCCAGCTGATGAGCACAAAGAGTACCTGGGCTCCCCTCCAAACATGCCAGATCTCCCACTTCTCTACTTCAGTCTCCACCTAAAGCCCAGGCCACCACCATCCCTCACCCAGAAGACAGTAACGGCCGCCCCGGGCTCCCTCTACCTCAACCTTGGCCCCCCTCTGAACCCCTGCCCTAACCCCCAATCTAGGCTCCACACACCAGCCCAGCATCAATCAGATGAAACCCCGCAGTGGCTTCCCATTGCTCTTGGAGTAAGGTCCAAACCACTTACCACAGCCCTAGTGCCTGGGTGGCTGGCCCTGCTGACAGCCCCTCCTCACCTGTGCCATACTCTTCCTCTCTTCCTAAATAGCAGCTACTGCAGTGTCTCTGTCTGTTTTACACCCGTCCTGTTCTTCTCCACCTCAGGACCTTTGCACTTGTTCCCTCAGTTTGGAATTCTCTTCCCCAGCTCTCCCAGAGCTGCCGCCTTCTCATTTGTCATTCAGGGCTGAATCCAAATATCACTTCCCCAGAGACACCTCCTGTGAACATCCAAGTGGGGCCCTCTGTCATTCCCCCAGGCCTCTGCTGCCTCACCCACCTTGGTTCTCCAGGCCACAGTGGGTGGCCCTGCTTTACAATGCACTCGCTGTACTGAGACCAAAGGCAGCCCATCTGTCAAAAGTATCTCTCTACCTCAGTGTCCTCATTTGCACAATGGGAGTGGTGAGCCCTCCTCCCAGAGTTGGGAGTGTGGACTGGAGGCAGCAGTGCCAGGGAGGTGCCCAGAAAGGTGCCAGTGGTGTCCTGGGCTCGGGAGGTTGGGGTTTGGCCATAATTGATCCCTTCTCCCTTGCTCTCCTGGCTCGTTTGGGACTAGTGGTGGCTCAGTGGCAGGCCCCACATAGACTCCCATCTGGAAGGTTGTATCTCTACTTTGGGCCACAGGGGTCTGGGGGTCTGAACCCTGGGGGCTAGCTCTGGGACAGGAACACAGGTGTACAGGCCCTCCCCTTTTTTTAAAGCTTTATTTATTCTGAGAGAGAGAGAGAGAG